TTTTTTTGTATTTTTAGTAGAGATGGGGTTTCATCATGTTGACCAGGATGGTCTTGATCTGCTGACTTCGTGATCTGCCCGCCTGAGTCTCCCAAAGTGCTGGGATTACAGGGGTGAGCCACTGTGCCTGGCCAAATGCCAGGTTTTCTAATCACAGCATAGCTGCCCAACAAGTTTCAGAGAGAGGTGCAATTTTCACCCCATTCTACAGATGTCAACATTGAGATTTCTGTTATTTGCCTAAGAGAGAAGTTATTAGTGTAAGGTCATGGTGAGTGGGTGAGAGTTTCTGGCCTCCAGATTCAGTGATCTGTCCACCCACTCCCATACATAAGGCCTCCTCCCCATCTTTGGACCCCCAAAGTCTCCCCACTAAGCTATGTCCCTTGTGATCTGACTGACCCCTTCTCTAAGATCCATCCCAGCTTCATGCCCACTCTTCCACTCTGAGCAACCCCTCATTTTGCACTCCCTTCCTCAGAGACCCCTCTGGATTTCCACCTCCCACCCGCCCCCAGCTTCCCTCTTCTCTCTGAGCCCCTCCTGCTTCAGAGGCCCTTCCTCATCTCTGGGTCCCCTCCCCTCTGTAAGACCCTCTCCCATTCTGACACCCTCCTTCCTGAGTGTATGTTCAGGGCACATATGCTTTCTCAATTTGAACTTGGCCTTTGGGGCCCCAGAACCCGAGAGGCCCCTGCCTCCCTGATCCTGTACCCCCAATCCTCCCAGCCCAACCTTCCTGCCACCCAGCTGCACCCTCAGAGGGACCCTGACCACCTGGGAGAGGAAAACTTCCATGCTCTTCCCCCACCCAGCTAGCTGGACCCCCTTCCCACCCCACGTCCCCCATGCATACACACCAGGGCCCTTTCCACCTGGGTACCACACCCTGCTAGGCTGGAGGCAGGAAGGGAGATGGTTTCAACCAGATGGGACCAGCTTCTGGGCTGGGAGGGGGGTGCCAGGGGAGGTAGAGAGAGATGGGGGGGCACCTGCAGGAGCTCCAGACTCCTGCTCCCCCCACCCCTCCCACCCCACCTCCGTTGGCCCTCACCTCCTCCCCCCTCCCAGCACCTTGGGCAGATGAGGATGGGGTTGCCATGGCAACGCTGATTCACCACACGGAAGCTGGCAATTGTTGTTGCCATGGAAACCGCCTCTTAGGGGCGAGCCCAGCTCCTGCCTTGCACAAAAGAGATATTTAAATATAATCTTCTGGAGATGGACGAGGGAGGGAGGGAAGGGTGGCCGCGGGGAGAGAAGCTGCCCCCATCACCGAACCCTCCCACCCCCACCTTGTTCTGGGGTTGGGGGGCTGGTATAGCTGCTCCGCATCTCCCCCACCCGCCACAGAGCCTGGGACCTTCTGCCTCCTACTGGGATGGGAGGTCCCTTCCCCCTCGCTGGGTCAGCTCCGGGGAGAGGGGGTCCTGGTCTGGTCCAGAGAAGCCAGCTGAGTAGCCCCCTCCTCTCCAGGCCTCCACTCTAAAGCCGAGCTCCGCGGCCCGGCAGTCCCCCCACCGCGGCCC